ACTTGCGTCTTTCCGTTCAAATTGGACCTACTCTGATAACAATGAACAATGTGGAAATGATGGCAAATACGACGGGCTAGCTACTTCTCAAGAAGGAAGGAAAGTGCCAATCACTTTCGACGGCTTTTGCGCAAAATAGTGTCCTGCGTCAAAATAGTGTCCCTTCTGCTCAACTTACTGATTGGCCTTCACCGAAAATGGCGCTTCTTTTATTTTAAGCTTCATTTGCTTGAATGATATTAGCGTGCTACGGGGGAGGGTGTGGTGAAGTGGCGGGAGGTAAGGGGAGGAGGGTGGGGTAGGGCGAGAAGGGGAAGAAGGACCTGCTGCACATCAACGGGAAAATTTCACCCAGCTAGATTCCGTGTCACCGCTGCTGCATCTTGTGCTAACAACCTAATTTTTTTGCATTCCCTCTTACCCCCTTTGCACGGGAGATTTTAATTCCAACAACCGCGGCAAAAACTGACACGCACTATGCTGCATCACCTCGACCCCCTTGAGCATATGATCAAGTTAATTAATAAATAACCTGCAGTCGCAATTCAGCGGATTTCCAGATAGCACAAGTGCATGCAGTGAGCCAGAGAAATCGAACAGACGCGTCGGTAGTGACTGGATTGCATTATCAGCCAAATTCAGTATCTGCAGGCTCGGCATGCTCCAGAGCAGCTGATGAGCGATTTGCATCACCCGATTCGAAGAAAAGTCCAAATGAAGAAGTTTAGAGAGACGACGTGTGCTAAGTTTCGGCACTGCTTCCAGGTCATTTGCAGACAGTGACAACTTCCTTAGGTTTACTGTTTCGTCCAACAAATTCTAAAACTTTTCATGCTGCTTTGAAAAACTCTTTGAAAATTCTGCAATTAGAATGGTGCCCCGGCGGTAAAAAAGAGGGGAATTCGCACCTTTTTCAAAACAAGGAGTCATTAAGGTTAGCAGAGGAAAATAAAAAAAAAAAAGAAAAACAAAATTTAGTAAAGGCTGGGTATGAAATTCGACTGCAGAATTGCAAATAGAGCACGAATCTCAGTGACAGAACGTCATCAACTGACTACGGAAACTGCAACAAAATTCGAAGTGGTACTGTACGGTTAGTGAAGACGATTTTAATCAACAGACATTAAATTTAATTAATACTGGTTTTGTCAGGATGTTTCTCGCAACTCTCCCTAGATGATTTCAAAACTGAATGCTTTATTAGTTTGCAGGATGCTGTCCAAGAAATTTTATACAAAAATATTTTCCAACAATTTCTGATTCAGAAATGTTTGAGGATATGGAGTGGAGCAGAAAACTACTGAATCGTGCTACTCACTTAGAAAAATCTGCACTGGAGTTTTTCTTTTTTTGACCAAAGCTTCATTTTAGACAATTCTATACTTTTCCCTTATGAGTTTATTATATTGAATGAATAATGCTAAACTCCTTATAGAAATTAAGAAACTGGTCTTGTAGCTAAGAGCTGTCAAGCTTACAATTAATGCTGTAACACTCCCACGTCCTGACACAAAAGATATAGAACGTTTCATCTATTATTTACATTATCAAACAAAAGTTCGTAAAAAAGAATACCTTCTCCAAAGTGCGGATGCGATTAGATGAAAGCAGGAGCAATTCCAAATTATCAAGACGCCTCAGGTTCTCCTTCGTAATTTTCACCAGACGATTATTACGCAAATCTAGCACACTGGTATTCTTGGGCAAATGCTTCGGTACAGTGCGCAGCGATTGTCCTCGGCAATCAACCAACCCTTTTGGGCAAAAACAGCGTTCTGGACACTTATCCGGCTGCGCATTCAGCTGTACATCGTTGATAACTAGTCGCAATATCAGCAGTGATAAGCAGCGGATCCACATTGCAACTTCTTTCAGAGCAGGGCGTACCAGGCTAATAAGCACACTTGGCAGTTATGCTGCAGCATAAGCAGTTATCCCTGCAAATTTGAAACTGTTTGGCTCTATAGATCTGAATATCGCCACTCTGCCCTAATCAGCGGAACAAATGAAGCATTGCAGCGCTGACGGGGGATGGACGATCAAGTGTCATCTCTGTCTGCCCATCTATTAAGAGTTACAAGGCCGTTCGGACTAATAGTGTAAAGTTAATGAGGCGCAACGATATAACTGGACCTATCTATTCAGGACCCTCTTCTTGCTGTCTTTCCGGCTATCCGTGATACTCACGACGTATGCGTTCTACTGCTTCAAGGGTTATTTCTGTAGTTGTTACAAATGTTGCACGTTGCCCAAACACGAAATACAGCCAAACAAGCTACATGTGCGTGCAGCAGACTTTACTTCATGACTATGACGACAACCTACAGGACTTCGCTTGTCGGTACATCTAGTTTTCTATGTGGTCACGGAACGTTCCTCTTAAATCTTTGAACTACGCCTGGATAAGTGCTGTGTCACTGGCAAAGCAACAGTGACTGGACAATTCGTCGCTGATTTTTCAGCTACTTTTTCATTCCATTTAACAAAACTGATTTATTGAGGGCTCTTCGAGGGGTCGGTGAGCACCATATATCATAGAAGAAAACAAAGGTGCCAGACCAGATGACTTCCGGAATGATGGGTCCAGGCGGCAGCAAGCAGCACTTGGAGGCAAGAAGTGCAGAACTGGAAAGGTAAGCATGGCTGCGAGCAGCTATATTCCCAGAGCATCAACAGTTTCAAAGTGAGTGTCTAAGCTACCATCCTCTTGGCTAACATATTAGACTTCGGATTTCGCTTCACTTTCGGACAAGTCCTATGCGCACAAGAATTTGCCATTTTTCCGCTGATTCTACTAAATCCAATTTTTGCTCACAAAACATTTCAGAGAATCGCTGTTGTGGAGACGTCACTCCTATAAAATTCCAGCCCAAGCGTCTCGTGATGCTCTCCGCGCGCATGAATGGTAGCAAAGGACTAGGCAAATGCCAAACAGGAGGAATGGTAGAACAGTTTCGCTCAGAATGGGAGGATGGATGACTGTATAATCGGTCTTATCTTTAGCAGAAAGTGGTCTCCGCCAAATATCTTCTTTCTAATTCAACCGGATCGGCGTATTCCTCAGGCATACATTGAACAAGCGATATATACTAACAAAAGGGAAGCAGATCAGGATCGAGAGGCCTGGCATACGGAATCCGGTGTGCGTGGGCACCTGAATAACACTAATAACATACAATCCTACATCGGTTATCCGAGTGGTCTTGGTGATTGCACAGAACGCTGATAATACGTGGCGCTGGTAATTTAAGAAGTGCGAACAAAAAAAGTACAGCTGAGAGAAGTAGGACTTGAAAAAAGAGGAACAGGAGAACAATCCGGACAGAGCACAGCAGACAGAACAACTTCCTAGGGATACAGCTGGATGAAGCATTGTTCTCGAGACGCATACGATGGAAGCTGTTTTGTACTTGATTGATATCGTTTTGCTAGCTGAAAAGGTCTGCTAGAACGGCTTCCTTTGATGTTCTCAATTGCCCTTCACAAATAGACTTCAGCGAGGAAAAAATCCGATTTACAGCCGATACTTTTGCCGGCTTATCAGCAGCATGCGGTGCAGTATACATAACAACTTTTTAATCACTCATGATTAGAATTCAAATTTTCGAAAGCTTAGCGAAACCAAACCCAGGCTGGAACGCACCGGGCGGGCCCGTGCGATCATGC